GTGTTGCAGCGAAACTACGATAAACTTAGTGCATGGAAATATTGTGACTAGCTCGCGTCGAAATGAACTCTGCTAGATTCTCACGACTGCGGTTCTCGACATCTGCGAATAGCCAATCATAGATGCCGCAATGCTGGTCCTTGGTCAGGCGACGAATAGCGAGCCTGCACGCGTGAATTTCTCTCTCTCTCTGCCCATTGGTTTGACTGCCGTCAACTGGCACTTGGACCCGGCTGGCTCTCCTGGCTGGTCGTATGCTCTCCGCAGTCAAATCTCTGTCCATCTATTCTTCGTTCCTCTGTGTACACAATATACTGTTGTTACTTCTCTGGCCTCTACCGACTTCTCCACAAAGAAACCATGGTCTGAAGATCGCAGTTGCTAGGGTTTAACTTAACCCCTTGTGATAGAAGTAGTGCGGATGCTAACTATCACAGCTACAAGACAGGCGATTGATCAAAAACACAACGTTCATAAAAAGCAGACAATCATAGAGATGACTATGAACTCGACAAGCCAATGGGCGCAAAGTGAGAAATGTATCTCTTTAGGTGGGTAATTTTTGTGGGTGAGTTCACTTAAAACTCAGAAATGGCTACCTTCGCGGTGGACGTAGTGGGAAAATAGCTGACTGCACTATTAGCCGTTTAACTCCTCAACAAATTTAGACACATTCAAGGACGACGAAGTTAAGGCACTCCAATCATAATACCGGGCGCCTGTGCCGCTATCAGTACCATGCCGTAAATTTCCCTGGGTTAAGCATCTTCTTCCTCATTCACCTCTCTAAGAAGTAGTGAACTGTATGAAAAATGCCTTAAAATCCAAGACAGAGCATAAGAGACGTAATTTTATTACGACAACTTATCCGCATACTCTGTTCCAATGAATGTTGATTATTGATCCAAGGCTTACTTCCGAAAATTTTGGCCTAAGCACCTATGAGAACTGGAAAAAGTATATCTGTTATTTTCATGTGCATACATTTCTTGGAAAAGCTGTTTAGTCGAGATGGTTCATTTCTGTATAGTATAGGTATAGTCTAGAATAGGGAGTCTTAAAGTTCGCGGACTGCTAAACGTTCATGTGTATCGCATTCAATATAGCATTTGGGCAAGTTTGATTTTAGAAGACTCAAATATCCCGTCGACTTATAACAAAAAACTACTTTCAAATGTTCGGCAAAAATTCCCGTTTCGTTTACGATTGAAAAGTCTTGTTGGCAAACAGCTGTTTTCGGTAATTCGTTAAATTAAACCAATAGGAGGATCAGTTTCCATTTTCGTTAAATTTCGCCTACATAAGATCGAATTTCCCTCGATTAGCATTCGTATCCTACGCAACAGAAGTTTGCGTTGGCCGAATTTTATTAATAAGGCCTATCAAAATGAGCATAATCTTATTTAATTTAATATTTTTGATCACTTTCGCCATAGTTACATATTAGTTTACGCTCACTAGCCAAGAATTAAAGGTTTGACCACAAAATAAGTTAAGCAGTTGGGCGGGGGAAATAGATATCTTGAGGGCTCCTACAAGTCAATTTTGCCAGCATTTGTTATCTGGTTCTCATTAAATCTCTTGTCAGAGCTGCGGGACAATGTATAAGCGTTAGCTTGTTAAACAGGAAGTAAACAAACGCTTATGCATTGTTCCGCAGCTCTTACAAGGCATTTGACCATCTAATGCAACTCTTTGTCTTCTGCCAAAGAAACTTTTCATCTTAAATGGCAGAACATACGAACACACCAAAGGGACGCCGATGAGTTCCCCAATTTCAAGTCCAATCGCATAACTGGTCTTACATGAGGTGGGAAAAGCCGCCTTCAATCAGTTCGAACCTGCATTCTGGTGCCGATATGTGGACGACACTTTCGTTATAATCCAACGGAACAGGCTAGTAGACTTTCAGAACCTGCTTAACGGCATCTTCTCCCGCCATCCAAGTTAAAAAGGAAGAACAGAATGCTGGACAACTGCCTTTCCTGGACGTTCTCGTCACACGCAGACCCAGTGGAGAACCCAGCCCCAAGGTTTATAGAAAGGTGGTTCACACAACCCAGATTTTTAGCTACCATAGCGGCCAACGAATGGCGGATAAACGCGGCTGTATTAAAACTCTCTTTCAGCAGGTAAAAACACATTGCAGTGAACATGAGGAACGAGTGCGAGAAATACGGCATCTTCAGGACCAACTGGTAAGGAATGGATAACCTAACAGTTTCACCAGCCGCTGTCACCGTGCACGCGAACGGGAAACAAACGAAGG